CTTCATGCTCAGAAGCCATGAAAATGAAGACAGTTTTAGGACTTGGTGGGGAAAGCATGGAAAACAAATCAAACCAGAACTGTGACATTGCACTTCCTATTTACAGCTTGAGTAGAGTTTGGTCACCTCATCTCTGAAGGGACAAATAGAGAAAAATAATGAAGATTGTCAGAAGTGTGAAATGGCTAAATACAGCAGCAGTCATATAGAGAAAAAGACACTGAGGAAAAGGCCTAAAGAACTGTGATAAAGGCAGGAAGGTAAAAACAAAATATGAATCATTAGGCAGTGATAATCAAGAAGCAGGCTTAAAACAAAAACAAGAAGCACTTTCTCATAGTGACTAGTTACATGGGAGGGCAAAAGCATTAACAGATTTTTGTTAATAATTCATTGCACACTTTATAAATACAACTCTATCATTACAAAAGTTCACTGTCCAGATGCAGTTTCTAGCTTAGGACATCCTTGCACAGATTGTGGCAAGTAGCAAGGAGATCTTGCTGTAAAGAGAGAATATCTCTGTAGTCTTATTGCACCTCTTGCTCTAAGCACTCATTACTACTACTCCTAGAGACAATACTGGGCCCAGTAGATCTTTGCTTCGCCATGTGGCAATTCTGATGTCACATGTATTAAAACTATTCAGTTTGTGCCAGATGAATCTGAACTGTCCCACAGTAACACGCTAACTATGTAGCAGCATGGGTATCAGATCATTGGAAGAACTGTGAGCATTCGAGTTGTGTGCTCCTGGGAAGCAGCCCAGAGCTTTCCCACATCCCATGTCAACAAGAACAGAATTAAAATAAGGCAAGTCATCTTTTTCACACGTCAGTACAGATGCCATACAAAATCCAATTCATCATTAAAGGTGAATGATTTCTGAGGTCCAGCAAGACAAAAGGCTCTCTGAAAAAAGCCAAAGCTGGAGTCCCTTAGTGCAGCATCATTTGTCCAGGATGACCATCACAGGCAAGTGGTTCAGTGGCACGCAGATGTTCAGCTTTCATGGTGCCCAATATGTAAGGAGACTTTTGCACAGCATGAGGAAGACCAACAGAAGCTATAAAGTGGTTGAATTGGCTCATACATGAGCTAAAACAGACAGTACCAAGCGTGTTCTGAAGCAACTCTCCTGTGCTGATTCTGCTGTGTCGCTCCCTCAGGTAAGCGAGCACAACATACCCCTTCGAGAAGCTGGGATCAGACTGGTGCGAGCAAAGAATTTCTCAGAATTACTAGCAGATCATCCCTCTTAACCATCCTTTTATTCAGTTGCAGTCTTTATTACTTCAGCCTGCACTGAAGGTCTAAAATCACTGAGGTATTAACTTCTGCACTAAAATGCAGAAGATTGGCAGGTTTTCTTCGGTGATTGCCACTCATCTCAAGTTGTTTGGAAAGGGATGTATCCACATAGAGCACAGTTTACCCACACGACAAAAGAAAACAGGCCGTAACTGTTCAAACAAAAGCTTAAGCATAAAAATCAAGTAAACACCCATTTCATAAAGTCTGTGTGAACTGGCTTGGAATTAAAAATCGAGTTTCTTAATAAAGCTTAAGAATTTTTTCGATTAGTTCATCTAGGAACACGTCCCGTTTTGGACATCCTTTACGTGTCTAAACCTCTCACTGACAGATCAGAGAAAGGAAGCAAAATAAAAATGCTGTTATTTGAACAAGAGCGCCACGTAGTGTTACAAACTGTGATGGAAAACAAAAAGCAGGCAATCTCTCTAGCCTTCCCAAGCCTGGGTAAAGGAAAAACATCAGCATTATCACACCGAATATGAAGTCTCCCCACCTTGTGATCCTTGACAAAACAGAAAACTTTCTTGCGTTCAGTGTAAGGAAGAGAAACAAAGCACACCTTTTCTTAGTTCATTCTGCAGCCTGCATGATGGCTAGCAACAAAAATTATTTCAAGCAAAACAAGTAGCATTGAATTCCATTGCATTTGAGCTACTTGTGTCAGTTTTCATTCAAAACATATGCAAGAAACAGGATTTGTAGTTAAGTCAAGAGCAGATGACCAGTACTTGGAGGCTGCGCCTAACAAATCAGTAAACTACTCGTGAGACTAATCACAAGTTTCAACTTGACTGGGAGTGTTTGCCTGTCTAGAAGAACCCAGAAAGAAATATGCTAATGTTGATTTGTCATCACAAATTTAATCTGAGAGTAAAAGAGAACACTGAAACCTTCTTGATCTCTTCTTGTGAAGAAGTTTTGTTGACTTCAGTGGGATCCCTTTATAAAGCAAAGCAACGCAAATTATCTTCTATACAATATTTCATCATTCAAGACAAAAAATACAGCAGCCACCAGTGTCTCTAGAACCAAACTGCCTGTCACCTATTTTACTGTTGATATCAAACACTTCCATAGACTCTTCTCTTCCTTTTTTTCCTGAAGGAGTATACCAGAAGTTTTAGAAGTCCCTAGAACACAGTGACACATTGCTTCCTCTTACTAGGCATGCAGAAAGGGGGCAGGGGTGGTGGTGTGAACAAACGTTACACAACATCAACAAGTCTTTCAATCAAATAAGTTACAATGCTGGACATAAGGCCTCACATAAGAAACTACACAATACTGCTAGCACTGGGAAGGAGCAAGTTACCCAAAGAGCAACTGACAATTTTTCCAACTTTAAAGCTGTATTAGTTGTGGAACAAGGACTTTTATTTTTTTTTTTCTTCTTGAGGAAAAGAAACTCTGCATTACAGAGAAAAACTATTTTAACATTCGGTTTCCATAACACTTTCTCCAGTAAGCAATTAGATAGCTTTAATTTATGAAACAACATCTACAAAGAAAACAGACAATCCATTTTGCTGCTAGGCAAGCCTATTCTTTTCTAGTTTCTATTTGATAGTGTTTTCACCTTACTAAAAGAGACAAAAACTTTAAGATATTTACATTCATGTTTTAAAAACCCTGTGTCCATTGTCACATGCAAATGAAACAACACACAGTACAGCTATTGTATTACAGAAAGAATCCACCATTGACTTTAATTTAAAAAGCCATCAATCATGCCTAGGTTGAGATATTTTTCTGAGAAATTTTCTTCTATAAACTCATGGTATACAAAAGAGTCCCCCAAAACTTTAGCACTAGATGGGCCTGTGATTTCCAGGCTTTTGAGATCAGAGTTCTCTTAAAAAAACCCACAAACGCACACAATCAGCCATATACTTCTTGCCCTTCGGCCTGGGTTTTGCCATATTTCTTTACGGTCCTCCTTTCCCAAGCTGCACACGACTTTTCCAGCTTCCAGGAGGAAGAGAGACGATTCAAATTACACTCACTTGCATTCTGCTGCTGCTGACAAAGGGATTAATCCCAGCTCTAGAAATGCTCTTATGGCTAAACCAGTTACTTGAGCAGCCAAAAAGATGATCACGGACTACCAACTTGCAGATTTCTGAATAAGACTTGTCCCTGCAACAGGCTGCCTTGTGGATTTGGGGGGGATGGAGGAAGAAACAGAAATACACAGCTTTAGTAAATGGAGAGAACCACTACCTGACCCACACGTACAAGTATTTTAGAGCTGGCCACAAAGTAGTAGAGATGTTGCTGTAATGCTCTATATCAAGTCAGGCCTCGCTATTTACCATTCTGTCCAATACTCCAACACCTCTAATGCCAGCTAGCTTAGTAGCCCTAGGCTGAAGATATATTTTGAAGCATTACAACTAAAACTCGATACTTTCCAGTATCAGAAGTGTGGAAGCAAACTGTTCAGAGCTGCAAAAAACAAATGCAAAGCACTATACTGCATGGCATATTAAGGGTTCATTTCTAAGATGCCGTTTCAAGAGCGTCCTTCCATACTCAGGCAAACTGTGAACCAAAAAAACTTAAACAATATAGTCTCTTTCCATTCCCTGTACCTATTTCATGTATTTAGACAAATCTTTTGTTGACTAAAAAAAAATGCCCTCCCATATTCTTATAAAGACAGTTTTGTCTCCTAGACAGGCCAGCTCAAAGGACTCTCACCTACTATTAACAGAAGCTGCTATTCCTGAAGTCAAACCAACTCCTAATCTACATTTTGCTCAATAGGACAAATACAAGTGCAACATTCCTGAGCAAATATTTTCACTTCTATCTAAGTATCAAGTGGCATAAATCCATCTTATTCACACAGGAAAGTAATTCAGAAGTCACAAGCAACCAAAATCAGCAAAACACAGAAATCCATACACACAAATAGGTTGTTCCTGTTTGACTTTTGGATAAGTACAACTGGTTTTAATGCACTTACATTGCAAACACGTTTTCTCTTTATGGTTTAGAAACACTGAGGGGGACGGGAGGGAAAGATATTTTGAGTGAGGCAAATGGTGGGTTTACTAAAGCACTGACATTGCCAAACCCATATGCTTGTGTAAGTGTACTGCTCTTAGAGCAGAGAGAATATTTTTTGCATTTAACTGCAAAGACAGACCACAGCTCATACATCAACCTGCATTTATAACAGTTTTTCACTAAGGTTTGGGGATTTTTTTAATGCACAAAACTGTCGTGAGCGGGAAGTTGTCACACCACAAGCCATTAGAACACAGTAAAGTAAACAAATATACTAGATTCTGGATCAATCTTTCCAGTTTTCCCAATAATACTCACAAAAGGTTTAGGGAACTGACTATCAAAACAGAATTTTCAGCACATCATCTCAGTCTTCTTAACCTATAAGCTTCAGTCAAGTTAATTACTGCACTTAAAATATAGATTTCATTCCTTACTTGGGCAAAGATTCCCCTTAAAAGTCCCATCAGAAGACAGCTTTTGCAGGACTGCAGCATCCTTCTACAGGTTTGAATTCAAGTTCTCCCTAACACTGACAATGACGCATATGTGCTATTATTCTTCAACTACATCTTCAGGGAGGTGTTGAGGGAAAAGTTGTAATAGAAAACATTCCTTTCAGGTTTTTCAACTGCACAATATTTCAGTCACAAAATTCTCAATTACTTATTTCATATTTGGTCGATTGCTGCCAGGAAGGCAATGAGGAACACTATATTTCCACAGACATAGATGGTTAACACAATCTGTTTAAACAGACGACCCTGCAAGAGAAAGGGAAGAAAAGCCATAAAAGTGTCAGTCTTTTTGCTGGTTTAAACAAAGAATCATCCCATCTCAGAGTAGTTATTTACAAAATTGCAACTTACCTCTGCTTCTGCAGATGTGAGTGATTGCAATATCTGTACTCTGTCATCCTCTATCACTTCAACTATTAGTGGGAAGAAAAAAAAAAAAAGTTAAGTCTACTCTTAAGAGGAAAGGGGTTTTTCATTTTTATACTCCAGAAGTCTTGATCCTGTCACTAAGTAACTAAGTCTTATACAACATGAAATTTGTAAAGCACTTGGAAGTCTCATTGGACATTTCATCACCTGTACTATCATGTTCACAGCACAAATGAAAAATTATTCTGGAGCTGACCTACGAAAAGGAACTTCTGGACACTGAAGTGGCAAAACATTGTCTCTTTTGCTAGAGTGAATCATCAAAACACTGAGTTTTGAGCCGAACAAAACATTTGTTTGATCTAAAACCTTTTCCTTTCAAGATAACTAGATTTCATTAAGAAGTGTTTTCCATTAGCCAACATGAGAACATTCATTGTTCAAACATTTCAGGTTCCTGCCTCTATTTCTAGGAAGTAATTACTGCATTTAAATTTCAATTCACATCTTTTATAATCACTTCTTCTCCATGTGCCACCTTACACAACACCTTAACTAATCATGCTTCTTCAATTTTGCAGATATCTCTGCCTTAGATACAGGTCATTTACAAGTGCACAGTCATCTCCTCTCAGTAACACCAGCCAGTGAAACTAAGAATTTCCAATAAAGTTACTACATGTCTCTTCACTAGACATACTAGAGTCAGGATTTCACCTTCATTCCCCTGTTGAGCACAAATACTTGCAGTTTTGAGTGAAGTTTCTGATCATTTTGCTCATGCAATAGCAGCCATTCATTCCAGCAATTTGTCACAATAAAATGCTGTCTAACTCTGCACGAATTAACCTGAACTTTACCTACCCACCTGGGATCAAAATCATCGTAAACAGTGACAGATTCTTGGAAAATACTTAGGCATTTCAGTCTGCCCCATTGAACTGTTGATTGAGAAATAAGAGGCTACTATGTAAAACAGCACAAAAACAACTTTTCTAGAACACTTTGGTCTTGAAAACCAGTTTACTTCCATATTAGTTTGTACAAAAGATATGACACTATTACTCAAGAGTTATTCCCCTTCCAGCTTCCAAGTTAGAGGCCAAAGAACACCTTCTTAAATTCAATCCACCGTCACATTTTTTGCACAATCTTCAGCAAGCAAGGTAACAACAGGAGTTCTGTTAGGTTTGTACCTTTACGTACGAGACAGTAGCTGTGTATTTCCATAAGAACATCAATACCAACATGCCAAGCTACAAAACCAATCATTGTATAGGTGTCCCATGGGTCCGGTAGGTCAAGTGCTGGTAGATCCATTCCCAGGAACATGGTCACCACTAGTCAGTAAAAAGATAAAAAAAGACAGTAAGAGTGCTGTGTCAAGAGTAATTTAAAAATGCTCTTAACACCTTTGGCAATAAGTTTTCCATGAACTGCCTACAACTGCTCAGGGAATGAAGTTAAAGTTGTCCATGTAGCTAAAAGCTTTTGGGTTTTGGCAGTGTGAGGGGGAGAGCAAGAAGAAGAGGCGGTCAAGATAGGGCACTGAGCAGGATGAAAACTATCACATCCCAGTCAGACAAACACTAGCATTCATGACTACCAACAAGTCCACAGTCACTGCAACATTTGTGCTCAAGCTGCCTTTGGAAACTTGTCACTATCGACAGAATTAAGCCCAGATTCCGGTTCTGTAAGCAAGTTTCCCCTCTCCTGTTAAACAATACTGAACTATGTTATCGTAAGAACACTATCCTCAAATCTTCCAAGACAAAAAGAAATTACTATTACAATCAAGAAAAGAATAGGTCCTCATTACAGAGATCTTTCAGATTTGTCTATAATCTCTTTGGTTTTACATAGTCACTTTTTCCTCCATAAAGCTGTACTTGATGGCCACTTAAAATTCACACAGAAGATGGCCAGCAAGAAAAAGAATCTTCAGTGATGCCTGGACTGGATGCCCATAGATGTTTTAGACAAGCAATAGCCCAGACAATGAAAAAGTTCCTTTAAATCACTTAAAAGGTAGTTACAACTATTAGTCCTACTCACCAGCTAGTATTCTAGCTGTTGTACCAGTACTCCAGTGAAACCAGTTAAATAATTGCCTCCTGCAAAACAATGAAAAATATTTTATTGATTATATGGAGGGGGGGGGTGTAAAAAAAAAAAAAACACCACACAAAACAACACATTGTTACCCCCTTTAAAGATATCTTTACAATGTACAAAGAATTTTTAAAGAAACAGGCATATTTAATTTTTGTGGCTGTAACTTAATGAGTTTGTTGTGAGTACCTTGGCGCATGACGAGATGGTCTGAAACCTGCCATAAGTGGTTGAAAGATTGTCAGAGCCATCACGGTACAGCCGAGATAGGGATGAAAACCTGCTTGCTAAACACAGGACATTTTTCTTTAATATTATGTCTAAAGAAAAAATACCAAAAAGGTTACAATTTTTTTTTATGCTGTATTAGTAAGTTACAATGCTGGAGCAGCACTGTGTTGAGACTGGCAGAGGTGACAGGATACAGTGAGCTGCCCTGCAGCTGGATGGAAATGGTTCTCCTTGGCAGCATGAGACACTAGTAAGTCTGCCCAGGGTTTGTCCCACCATTTTGCTGTACTGAGAAATTCTACCAGCTGAAGAACAGAGAGCAGTGTGACTGTAGAAACTATGCTCCAAGCTCTTCATCCTCAATCCTATGTCTCCAGGAAAGGCCTATTCATAACACCTCCCAGCACTGGTCTCCCCTCTCACCCTGTCTGTTCTAATCTTAACCCTAAAACGTTTTATTCAATTTCCCTAACTCCTAGCTCATACCTGTGACCACCTTCCCCCACCTTTAATTCAGATAGGCTCTGAACTTTGCAATTTCTGGTATTGCCTTGTACCAAGTATTATGCAGGTGACAGCAACAGGTATACAATTTCTATCTAATATTCCACGTTAAGTTTAATCACTGGATAGTTACTCAAGTCCAAGTTCATAACAAGACTTATTCCCAGCAGGTTTACCACGTTAATAAATCAGCTGTCTCATCCTCACTTCCCTCCCAAATTCAAGTTCTCTGAGGAAATGGGAAGATGACTGATTTAGTACACAAAGAAACTATGAGCAAGAACTTTATTTGGGAGAAAGAGGAAGGAAGGAAAGTACTGAAGTTTTTCAGTTGTAGTTAAAGGAGGCAACATTCCTCTTCTGTGTTGTTCAGATTTTAAAATCAGCCTACTAAAGGACAGCTTTCACAGCAATTTCCTCGGCAATAGTTGTAACGTGTTAGTCCTCAGTGGACCTCCTTCTCATTCAAAGATCCAACCTTTACATTTGAGTTAAACAAAACAAAAGCACACACTTACTTGGCTCCAGCCTCCTCTGTATATAAAAGGCAACACAAAAGAAATGCTTGTAAGCATGACTGTGGTCAACATAAGCGTACGATGCACCTAGAAAAGTTAAGTTTGCCTTTAGAAACTCTACAGCTTTCTTAATACACCATTAAAATACATTTAACAGATCTACAGTTAAAGATGTTCTTTAGTGTCCCCTTTAGCTGGCTTTCACTAGTAAAGTAGGTGAACTTCTGATTTGTAGTTGTTCCATTTTATAAGATTAAAGAAAGATAAAAATTGCACCAAGTTCAATCTCCTGTTTCTTGGATCTAGTAGGTTTATAGTTATACTTAGAATAAAGCTAGAAAATACAGCTGGAGATATGGGGAGATTTTGCCCACCTGAAACCACATCTCCTTTCCAAACAGGAATGAATGAGACCAGACAGGTTTGAAGAATCGTGCAACAATTACACCAATACTAACTGTGGTAATCCAAGCAACAAACATTAGCGCTCCTGAAAATAGAAAAAAAACCAAACAAAAACACACAACCAAAACCAAGGTAAACGTAAGTAATTTGGCTGCATACGAATACAGCTTCAAAGCCTGTGTAATAGTTTAGTCCATACAAATGCAGTCAGAATTCATCAGTGACAATTTTTTAGTCACCTGGTTCAGATTACAACTTTATAGCATTTATTTTGCTAAAGAGCAGAAACATCCATCTAGAAGATAGTCATAGTGTGCATATACAGCCCGACAGAGCAGCTCCGGCTACTGCACATTTCATATGCGCCAGTACGGTCAGTACAGGCCGGTGAGAGATTCTGTTCTGTCACCAACTTAGACATCAGATGATAAAAGGTGACATTTCTTATAATATGTTTGACAAAGCATGAGGGATAGTTCTCTCACAGGCCTGCTTTGAAGTCCAGTACTGTGAAAGAAAAAATTCTCATTAACTTCAATGGCTCTGAACTGTCAGTTGAGGGGTTTCTCATTTCAAATAGGATTAAACCAATCATGCAACTAGAACAAATTAAACCAGAGAGAAAGAGGTAAACAGAAACAAGTCCTAATTACAAATTTCAGAGAAGAGGCAAATGCAGGTGCATTTTCCTGGGCAAGACTCTTGTAACACTGTTCTTGAAATGAAAAATTATTAATAACTTTATCTTCACAGTCTCAGATCTTGCTAGCCAACAGTATACATAGCATGAGTGCCAGAAAGACAAGAGGAAACACCTACTCTGCAATAATGAGGAAAACTTAATTCTCCAGTCTCAGCAAGTCTAGAACTGGAAGACAAAACTAGAAGTTGTAGCCTACCATGAGCCTTGATAAGCCGTGGGGATCGGGAACCTCCAATATCCTGAGGAAGGCCCGTGACATTGTATATTCCGTTGGTGACCAGAGGCTGACGACGATGTTTGTATAGTAGTCCACCTAAGCAGTGACATAAAGCGGTTTATTTATGGCTGATGAAAGCCATTGCACTCGTAAGTGTGTCCACTCCTTATTTATGAATGCAAGCCCTGTCGTGACCACTAGGTATAATCATACAAACTATATTTCTGACACACAATATGGTAAGAACTTAGGATGTCATCTAAGCTGTCCTGCATACTTGACGTACAAGAACCAACTCACCCTACAGAAAATAGATTTCTGCACTACATACACAAGACCTGAAGAATAATTCCCTTTGATGCTAGTCTCCATTTAAAAAAAAACGTGACCAGCTTTTAAGAAGCTACCAGTTCCTAGCATCAAGCAGGCATACAACACATATATATGAGTAAGTTTACTACCATTTCCAAAAGCAAACGCGTGATCCAGAGAGGCAGTAAAGATGACTGGACAAAGTGCCTCAAACGTGGAAACCTTAGTTCAGATACTAGTCCTCAGCTAAGCCATATCTTACATAAGGGTTACTAACTCAGAGCTGTTCAAAGAAAAGCAACCCTATGCAAGTCAAGTTTACCTTCACTAGCTTCCCCATCTGCCAGAAAGATGTAGTAACTGGCATCCAGATTAAATCTCCCTTTATAAGCAGGAAGACGAATACTCCTTCTGAAAGAACATTGAAGAACACCATCCACAAGCCTCCATGACACGTCTTCAAGGGCATTCTGTGAAACAGGAGATAGTTAATGCCCAGTGTTTTCAGGCTAGCAGAGTAACTGGCTTAAAAGTAACCCTGCAAAAGGCAAGTGTCACCGGTGCACTAAGAAAGTACTGCAAAGATCAGGGGAGGGGAAGGGAAGGGGTAACAGTCTCTTGCATACCAACTTAGAAGGTATGTCAGTAAGTCAACACAGCAGCCTAAGGGTTGGAGTTATTACCACCAAGTTCCTGTTCCCTTCCAACTTTTAACACAAAATGTATTGATTGCAACTGCAGCCCTAGCTTGTAAACACGAGCACAAAGTTCCTCAATAGAGTAAGCTCCCATCACATGACTTTAATTTTTAAAAATTAGACTGCCAAAAGGTAACATTTACTAGGAAGTAAGGGCTCAACTGATCTCACCTTAAAGAATTAAGGATCCACCTTACTATTTACAGCTGCTGTGCAAAATAGAAGCACAAAGCAGCAGCATACCATTCATTACTTCAAGCCTACATTTGTTGAAGTGTCTCAGTTTTTTTTCAAACATACCTCTGAATCCAAAACAGGAGGACTTCGCCCCTTCAGATAGGCGGTGCTTACATGAACGCGGTGGTCCTCATTAATGCACAGATAAGCATCATCACCACCCTGGAGAGTTTAAAAGAAAGAATTATTTATAGCCCAATAAAAACCACTACTGGCAGTCTCCAAAAGCTCTTTGATTTAATATATGCAACAAGACCTGAGACAGATTTCTCTAGCTGTCAAACTGTTATTTCCCAGCTTTCAAACACTTCAGTACTACAGCGGAACCACATTAAGTCAAACAGATGACACATAGTAAGGCATATTCTCACTCTCTCTCCCTCCCAGGGCAACAACCATATTATCAGAAGTTTCTTTAATTATTTAGAATTTACTAAACTAACCAGACAAAACAGAGATGGATATTGATGTTATTCAAAAAATCCTTTTTAGTTAAAAGTTAGTTTCCCTCTTAGCTATAAAGACAAAGTATTGTTAAGAACAAGAGTTCTTGCACTAGGGACATAAATATAAACAGCATCTCCTTTGTGCAACAGTTAGTTTATGGATTATGCATTTGTCAACAGCATCATCCCTTCACTTTAACACCAATTAGAAAAAAGGATCTCAACACTTTTTAAGATTGAATGGAGTCACTCCTGAACAAACCACGACAAAATGCAAGTGGTTTTCAGAAAGCATAGCAACTCAGCTTCTGGTTTTTGGCTAGGTAACAGAGAAAGATTGATCTAGCCAGGAATTCCAGTCAGCTACTGTAGAGTCAGGCAGGTTGGATACTGCAAAGACAGGGAAATTCTACTGCAAATAGCCAGTTCTGAGCCAAAACTGAATATCCACCTATAAAAGGCAACCTGTGCTTCAGCACCATGGGAGAGAAGTTACTTTGTGCGACATCTAGCAGTGTTTCAGTTTTCTATATGTGTGTTTTGCTAGAGTAACATTCAAACATTACCAAGATCATAAAAGCAACTAAAGCAGTATAATAGGACACTCACCATCCACTGGTCATGGGACAATGCAAATGCTAAATATCCTTCACCTGGACCACTCATTTCAATAACTACGGAATTCTTCTCTTGTTGGAAGGATAGAAAAAAACAGGAGGCACTTTCAGGATCACAGTCTGAAGGGTTCCTAATGCAGAACTTCGTACTTCCACAACGTGATGCATCGAACTATACAATCAAGTAAACAAACAAGTCATAAGCAATGAGAGTTTCCCTCCTCTTCCTCCCTTTCCACCCGTTCTAGAAGAAAGCATACAAGGTACAACAAAGAAATGCCATCTATGTCTACATACCAATCTCAACACATCCCTACAATTACCCCAGGACTAGTAGGTAAGACTACGGTGATTTCTGAGCTGTACTTTCACCCAAGGTGAATTTTCACTTTAAAGACATAACAGAATAACTTTGAGAAGAAAGTAAAATCTTTCAAGAAACTTCCTTGGTGTAATTTTTAGAGAGGGAATATCAGCTGCAGGAGGAAGAAAAGACGGGAAGACCAGCTTTTCATTTCCTTTTTAAAGTAGGAACTCCACTGACAGAATGAGAAAACATATGGATTAAAAGTCATGCTTATTCTGGATCAAATAGCGACGCTTGCTTAATCCATTCAAGAATCAGTAATGGAAATCGGCAACACAGATAAATTCATAGAAGAAAGTTTCTAAGCCTGCAGCTACTAAATAGGAAGTTATGAGTCAAGACTAGAGCAAGTCTTTTGCCGTCTCTATTCCCAGGTACATGTAACATTTTCTGACCACTGAGTTCTAAAAATTCTATCAACCTTCTGACCCATGTGTTGCATGACAACATTTAACCCACACTAGTTCAGGCAACTCAAGGAACACAAGAGGGTAGCTGTCTATGTTCTTAGTCTCCAATAGCTACGTTACACATCCATCATCTCTCCCTTTATGTCAATAGGCTGTATCAACAAGATTTCATTAAATTCCATTGATCACAAGCATTAACTATAGCATTATTTAGGTTTATAATTACTTACTGGTTTTGATAAGTAGGAAATCTGGTGTGAAGTTGATATAGCCTCTGATGTTGCATGTAAGGGTGTTGTTGGGGACAGCACATTAGGCTGAGAAACAATGGGACCAGGAATCTTCACCCAGAAAATCTTGTATTTCTTCACAACAGTGGCTCTTGAAAAACACACCACAGACAGTCATTACTGTATACATCAACAGCAGCTTCTATAGTTTGTACAACTTACATATAAACCCCTCATCTTTATGCAGATTTCTACCATTTTAAGGATCAAAGTAAGAAAATATCTGAAACCTCAGTGGAAAAATAATTTTAAAACATACTACTACACGCTCTACTGCATATAAGAAACATTCATGCCTATGGCACAGATTAAATCCTCAGAGAAGAGTCGTATAGCTTTTATCCATTAGTTCCCAAACAGCTAGTAGTGCAACAGGATGGTATACATACCATTTCGTCAGGTACAAGCACAGAAAAAAAAAGGCAACACAGAAAAAACATTGTATGTTACACGCACGAGAAGTGAGCGGAAAATAGAAATCCTACAGAAACCACTCTCCAAGTCCCCTTCTACTCTCTCCACAAAAATCAAAATAATCATCTCCAAGCTTTCCCTAAAAAAAAAAAAAAGTGTCTGCATTAACATAGACTCTGCAGCGAGCAAGAGGTGTTGACTTTTCAGGCCATTAGTCCAAGGATACTTTTCAGTTGCTGGCCAATATTTGACACTGACAATGGTACAGGTTTACCATATTTGCATTTTAATAAACTAGAACTAGTACTAGATTTACTTACAGAAACTGTACATGTTTTGGTGCATCTCCAGGAGCAACCCAATAAACTTTTATGTATTTCTTCTTTGCTTTACTTGTGTGACTGACAGCTGAATTCTGAAAACACACACATATTAAGAATCACACAGTGGATACGCACTAAGGAGATTTCATTTAACACAGTCATCACAGGCTGCAGCTAAATCCTAAACGACACCGCACTGTTACACCACACAGACCCAGTGCAATTGACTTTTCCCCAGTCAGTCATGATCAACTCAAAGGAAGTCTACCACCAAAACTTACACATACTAACAAACTCCAGGCCAAAAGGAACAACTAGAGGTCTTTCAATCAGAAGACTCCAGTGATGAGACAGAGGTCCCTGCAGCATTTTTCCAGAAATAGTGTGATAACACTTCATGTGTTTGATAGCAAGATAATGTTCCATTTTTTTGATAGTAAGAGCGTGAAGGGACAGTGCAATGACTGTACAGAGAGAACAGAACTAGTATTCCAGAGGACAAAGACCAAAAGCAGCCTTGCGGTCAGACAGTTATTTGCACAAGATAACAGATCAGACACAGCACTGAACTAAGTCCTTCGAGCACAGAGGGCACAACTCAGCCATCCCCATGACTTTACAGCACTGGTGAATGCATTCACTGGATGCCACTGGGGAGCAGGTGGTAGAAGTGGAGAGAAAAAAAAAAAAGAATACATCTAGGCAGATTGAGAACTTTGTCACACCAGCTCAGATGGCATGTTCATGAAGTTCAAGCAGGTTGCTTGAACTAGTCAGAGTTCACATGTCTTACACATGAGGCAGAATTGATTTATCAAAAATGGATATTGAAGATTGTTATCTAACCTGTTACTAAGGCAGCTCCATTAACAGTAACTGACAGAGCAATGCTAAAGATAATAGCCTATTCTAGTGTTTGTTGACCACAATAACTGCCCTAAACTTCCCTTGCTGTAGGACATTTTCTCTGTACTTAACAAGCACGGAAAATGACTGATAACTCTCCTCTTCAAAGCAAATAGAGCATGCCCTCCTCTTTTTAATACTAAGTACAATAACCAGGAAAACACTACATTCATTGTGCGCAAGTAAAAATCATGTTATGAATGCTGCATCTTTCTGCAGCAGCCAATAGCCTTCTGTCACCAGGATAGTTTAAATGGCTCATAAGAACAGCCTGACAGAGTTGCAGTGAGCCATGCCTCTACACTGCAAGTTGGTGTAATTTCCTGAGAGACTTACTGAGCTCAAAGAAGGTTACATAGCTTAGCTCTGTCCTGTTACAGACATGGTCTAGTACAAACACCTCAGTGCCTGATGTCCCATTTTAAGACACTAGACTATACCTTGGTACGGCCACATGTCAGAAGCTGAGAAAGTCTCCGGTCAGCTAACACAAACGAACCAACTGCAGGGCTATCCAAGTGCTCTGCATCCCGGGCTTGTATGAAAAATCCTTCAAAATCTGGTCCAGACAGATGAACTGAAGCAAGAAGAAAAATAAAAGAAAAGCTGAAATATTTTCCAGAGGAAGAATGAAATGTTTCAACAACGACCACCAGAAGCTCATTCTACAAGTACTGAACGACTGCTAAACGGATCACCTGAGCAAGATTCAACCACTTCAACAGATCTAGTATAGATCTAGTACAGCTGAGTAAAGACATGCTACAACACCAAGAAACAGGAAATTAAAACTCTTCAGCTATAACTGACACAATACCTTCTATGTTGTCCCCTGGTTTAAATTCAGTCCCATTCACTGTAATGGTGTGCTCAGGTGAAACTTGTGGAGAGCTACCATGACAGGGTATCATACTAGTGCAGGCTTCTCTTACTTTTCCATTCGGATAGCCAGCCACAGATGCACAGAAGCAAATAAACATCCCAATGGCAAAACCAAGGCCAGGCAGCTCCATCTATATAAAGTAAGAGTTACAGACAATTAAATTCAGTAAATATTTACATTACAGGTCACCACTCATCTTTAGAAGAGTCAGCTGAACACTAAAATTTAAAAACATGTTTAAAACAAAAGCATGCATGAGAAGAGACCATTCCCAGCTGCAGAAGCTGAAAGTAACGTGCACTTCGGATTGTCAGACTTCGAAAGAATGTTCACAGATACCACGTTTCAGGACATCAAGAGTACAGACAGATGGATCCCTCTATCCACCGGGTGGATTATTTCTCTCAGTGCATTTTGACATCACCTCTTAAATTTGTTTTGCTTGCACCTCTGCTGTTCTCTCTCAAAAGAAAAACAATTCCCATCTGCACAGGACAGACAGATCTTAAAATGTGTTTCATTGATGTATAAAGGTCCACAGTACTAATGAACTACACAGCTAGCATCAAGCCCACTCGTATTAATCATAGCTGCAAACTGTGCAGCATTACAGACTGCCTTTTGTTTCCACAACTCGTATCTATTTCTTCACATGTGACAAATAATTCCCATGTAACAAGTTCTTCTTTCTGCAAGGAAACTAAAGTAGCCAAATGTCAGAAATAGATTTTATACATGAAAAGGAGGGGGAATTTGGTATGAATATTTAGACAAAGAAATACATATGCTGCAGACAAGCACAAGACTTGAATTCTTTTAACTCTTCCTTTTGGATATTGACTAATTTTCTGGGGATCCAAACACTATCACTGCTTGTCACACTCTCATTAAGGTAACAGTATTCATGAAAAACAGGTGGGGTAGCAGGACCAAAGAGTGTAAAACAGTTATATGAACCCCTAATCTCAGCATTCATCATATAAAGTTTTGCTCTGCCCCAACACTGTTTTCAAAAAAGCGGTCATAATTGCTTTATTACTCAGCAGCATGCAGGGTTTACAGTTGTATCATCGTTCACAGAACGCCTTCGCCAACAAGAAAAAGCGTTTGCACATCCAAAAGGCTGGGAGAACAGAGATAAACTTACTTTCAATCCTTAGGCACAAGATGAGAGTTATCAGCTCTAGTGGAACATATACCAGGCTATGCCAGGCAAGTAGGTCTGCCTTCTGGAAGAGCCATTCCCATTTTGCACCAACTGATAAGAAGTATCAGGTTATGAAGTTCCCTGACAGCACACATGGACACGAAGATAAGAATGGCACAGAACCATTTCAGACTGAACTCCGATACCCAAAAAGCAGTCAAATGAAGACAAGTCACGTCATTAGTGTTACACACTCTTAGAGAGTCACCAATATTAACTTTTCCAAAATACTCATACATTCAGTGCTAAAGATCCACAATATCCAGGGCAATGCTACATTTGTACTTCAACTTAAGAGTTCCTTGGCAACTTTACACCAGTAAATAGAAGAAAATCAGGGGAGAGAAGAGGTTGAACAGTTAGATTTCAGGAACTAGAAAAAAAAACCAAACAAACCAACACCACTCAGCGACTCCTCCCAAATATTCAAGATAACATTATGATAATACCTTTAACTTCTAGTTAAAGTAAGCCTTTCCTTCTAGTTCCAATACTTCTCCAAACTCACAAATCTACATCAACATGATTCTATTCATAAGTTAAGGAAACCCACAGGAAGATAAAAAACTAAGGTTCAGTACAACGGTGGCATTAAAGCAGCTTTTATATGTACAAGTGGAATCTCCAAAACAAGTTGCTGACAGAAGAGATAAGGCTGTATATGACAGAGATAAGAAAAAGAGTAGGTTAGTATTCTAGTTTAAGTAGCAGAGGATGTGGTAGGGATTTAGAACAACACAAGAAATATTCTTTTGCACGTTCAACTGACTTAAAAACTGGCAGAAGAGAAGGAGGAAGAAGCAGAGATGAAAAGAATGAAAAAGGCCAAAATCTGAAAGAAGCGCGGTACTGGATAGCATTTTATTTTTCAAAATAAACATTTTTTTATTTTTTAAACAGGGTTAACTGTAGAAGAGCAATCTTCTCTACATACATTCAACAATGAGGGCTAGATCCTATAAACAATAGTAATTTCCACACTAAAATTTAATCTTCCTCAAACAACATTTATTCAGTTGTCTTGAGAAGTCCCTTTCCTCCTTTAATCTGGAAATACATTGTGGCACTCTACATTCTCCACTTACGCAGCAAAAGAGGCAGAGGGAAGATGGGAAGCACTCTTGTAACACCAACCACTCTGTGATTGAAGATCTGGTTTGTACTTCTAGGAAAATATCTCCTAAAGCATTACTGTAGACAAAACAGTACAAAACATTCTAGAGAAGTCAAGCTTTAAGAAATTATTCCTTAACTTCAGATTAAAGAACTATGGACTTTAACTCAAATACCATAGTTGAACCCTTTCTATAACACTGTAGAACTTCATATTTAAAACTGTAGCTTGAAACAGGCAAAAATAGAAGTTTACACTCACTCATCTGCTGTCCATAACTCAGCTAGGATCTCACTGTGCCTCCCCATCTCCTTTTGCAACATGCACACACCCCCTTGGCCTTCAGCCAAGACCTGTTCAAACAAGCATCAAACCAATCATAACGGGCAAGACAGACAGAAAACGTGAATATATAGGCAGGAAGAGGGGAAATCCAACAGATGCCCAGAACTTCCTCGTACAAGCAGGTTAAGATGTCTTCTTTAGCTCTAAAAAAGTAGCTGTTACAAGAGCACGAAACAGCACGTCATGCCCTTGTGGATATGACAGTCTGGCCAAGAGAAGGAAAAAGTGAGTTAGTCTGGAAAGCTGAGCACCTATCATCAGTAGTTCAAAAATGAACCACATGAAAAAACACCCACCTAAGAAAGATACCTGGCTAAACTAACGAACCAGCAATAAACAATTCTGATACGGGAAAGAAAAAGTATCTTTATGCTCAGGCTGAAGACAGATAAGCAATTATACCCATCCTCAGACAAGTATCTGCACAACAGATCATCTGCTTTGTTAAACAAACAAACAAACAAACATCAGACAGTGGCAAACAACAAGTCAGTCCTATATAAAAGCCACCTCTTCTTCTGTAAGATTACATGCTTTCCTCTTTTCTATGGTTAGAGTTCTATAGCCATGATAGCATTATTTCTCTCCAAGTGACGTTGTCAGGAACGACTGCAATTTTAGACATTTAGCATGTCACATACACCACAATGCAGAAGAGTTATTCAGAATTACAGGAGCAAGTAGCTTTAAAATTTTAACTCATCACACACAGAGGTAAAGGAATCCAGGTTTGTAGTAAGTGAACATACAAAAAAACCACCACCTGTAGAGTACGCAAATATTAAAATATTCCCCTTTGCAGGAAAAACAGAGGAAGACAACTAAATCATGCAACTACATACATAAATACAATCCCAAACAAAAAGGCATTAGGATTAATAGCATGGAGAAAACTTGTTCAGAGAGGTTAGTTTCAGGAAAGCAGAGGTGCAAGATGTGAATCGTGCTTAACTTCACCACCAAAGAATAAAGTAAAAACAAAACCAGTGTTCCACCTCTATCAAGAAGGACCTGAGAGATTGATCAAAGCTATTACATCTTGCAGAACTGTTACTCACTCTATTATTCTATTCCTCCCAGAAACACAGTTGAATTAAAAAACAGTTAATTTGCATTCTAATAAAGATGAATCAGCAGATCTCTGCAAGATTCTTTTCTAGATAAGAACAACATAAACTGCATCAAAACTTTAAATCACTAAGTATTGCCATTAAAGCTAGATTCAAATTGAGAATCTATGTTAACTTAAGTTTTGAAGTGCATGACAGCAGGCTGTTCCATAGCTTATCTATAGCATTTGAAAATATCCTCAGTTTCCATTGTAACTACTTATAAACTGTAGATTTATTCATTTTGGCAGATTTTTCTTGCAAGTTGTATTAAGAAGCTTTGGCTATAGTGGCTTATTTATAACCCTCTGACACACGACAACTCATTGGTGACAGCCTATGAATTCACAGGTAGTCAAGTTCCCTGTACTAAAGAGGAACAGGAATAATTGACTTCAGGACTGAAGCATAATGATGTTAAAAAACCATAAAAGTTAGTTCCTGCAGCATTTTTCCACTGGCAATTCTCCAGTGTTTTCATTAACTTCTATTGTTTGAACAGCCTGGAAGAACAACAGGGAGTTTAAGGATTTCTGCACTATCCTGTGACTTGTTTTCCAAGATAAACGCATTACACCAAAATGCTTGTGTTAACCAGGAGCCTGAGAGTACATACAATCTCCTTCTACCCTGCCTGCATGCCAGCTGCACACCATGTGGTAGCACACATCAGTAAATGCCCCAGTCAAGGTTACAAGGATGTGCTACAAAGCGTACCAGCTCCATAGTCAGAACACAATCACATAGCATTGATTGTCGATTTTACTTAGTCTTGCACTACACACAGACTTTTCAATATGTTATATACGACCAAAGACGGCGTAAGATCCAGATTCTCTGCAGATATAAATACTAGCGCCTACCACAGCATTACAGTATAAGACAGTTACTCAAACCACTATGCCACATACTTTTATTTAGAATGGCAAAAATACTTCAATACTTATCAGTTTGAAGTATGACTGCAAGTTTGTTATTCCCTCCCTACTTAAATCTTCAGTATAACACATAACCCACCACCCCTGGCAGGAAAGAAAGCTTCAGAACAAGCTTGTTCAAAGAAACTTCATCATTACCTGTAATTCTAACAGTGTTTCAAATACCATGTCACTCTTGGGATGGAGGGAGGGAGGCAATTGTGTACTTGAAGTCATTTATAATGCAGTCCTCTAATTAACAGGAAGCCAAAAAACATGGAGTGACAGTCACCATCCCATCATCCTACCTAACTTCAGAAAAATGCTTTACAAAGAAGTTAAGCTTTTCCAAGGAAGGTGAGTAATCAGAATGTCAATTAATATATATTTCATATGGAACTTGATTATAACTGTAAAATTCAATTTCATACAAAGATTACTCAGTACTAACAACAGACTTCCAAAGTGGTCTGAAATTTCAGTCAAGCATTTCTTGAGCCATACTACCAAGTTATTTTATATGTTTGCTGAGCAGGTCAGAACTCAAGATAGAAACAGAGCTTTTTGTTAGGTGCGCCCTTCGTTGGGAACTTACATTGTATACAACCCACCAGAAACTTGGAGAGAAGTCATGCAGAAAAATCAGAATAGGGGTCCCAAAGGTACTCCTTGCGTGGCTAGTTATTCCAACAGTAGTGGGATGCAGAACAGTTATTTTAAATAAGAGGCAGCCCAAAAAAAGCTCACTGAACCTACAACAGATATTTCTGAAAAAGTGAACTAGAAAAAACCATTTCAGATAGTACGAATGGGGATGACACAGCTAGCATTCTTCATACTTACGATGGACCATGACAAGACAAGTCCACCTCTGTGATAATTTCTTTGGCCTTTAACCATTAATGCTTGAGTTATCTGTGGCTTAACCTCAAGAGATTCTGCCTTGTCAGGCAGATTGCAGAGAAATACACGGGTTTGCTCATAATAACAGCTACTGACTTCCGTAAAGTTTCAATACAACACAACTACCCTTGTCTGAACATTTAGAATTTATCATTTCATTCAGGAGTCATCTCATCCTCCTCTTAAGGAGGGAGGAGGAAAGAATAAGAATGGTTAGAAAAAAAATGAGTGCTATAATTTTAGGAACGGAATCTTCAAAAGCTGAACTGACCATATCAAAATTTAGTGGGAATCTTTTCATAATATTTACTATACATGGGAATTTATTTTCCTGATTACATCTCATGATCTTACAGTAACTGGATTTGGATAAATGGAGAGCAGTAAGTTACTCCCTCCTGTGTTGAAAAAGACTCCTACAGTCCCTGCAGTTATCAACAGCTAAGAACACCCTGGCAGCGCAATTCCTCAAGAGCACAACATTCATACACAAACTCAGGATCTCTTCACAGAAATTAGCTTCTTCCCAGCTGTTCAACAGAACTACATTAGCTGCAGAGTATGAAATCTAAACTAGTTTCAGAGAGGAAGAGGAGATGAGAGGAGGGGCAAGGCAGACATATTGACAACTCAAAGGTACAAAAACTATTGTAGCCAGAACTTTTCCTCTGAGCACCATCAGACAAGAGGGCAAGCAGAACAGCAAAACACTGTTGAAGGAGAATAAGCTGTAGTAATAGAAAGTGTCTGTGCCATGTCTGGTCAGAAATATATTCTTACAAAGCAAAAGCAGACAGCTTTGCTGTCAGAGTCACCTTCCCTCCCAGTTCAGAAAAAGAGCTTGGGTTAACATCTCCTGCTCATTTAAATGTGGTCGTATCACCACGGCTGGATTGAGCAAGGGCAGAAAACAAATAGTATTCACAATAACTCATCACTTTTAAAATACAAACACACACCCCTCATGTCCCAAGATGAGAAAACACACACACCTCAGCCTCTTGGCCTTTCTACTCAGGAAACATTCAAACAGAACTTCAAGGCTTGTGTGTTTCAGAATCAATTTTTATAATAGTTTAAGTGTAAGTACTTACCTTACAGCCAGTCCTTCTGTTACAGTGACCAAGCCCGAGTAAAATTGCCATTGGCTTTCTACTTATAGCAGGACAACTTATATTACATCGTAACCTCTTCTATTTGCCTTGCATCTAACAGCGCTAACCTTTATCATGCCCAGGATCAGAGGAAGTTTGTCTGAAAGGAGAAACAGTACACACACAAAAAGGAAACATTTGTAAGAGCGTTCTTTACTTCAGGCACATGTTTTATACAGCTTACCGAGCCAAGCCCGTAAGACCCCATACTTCAGCTGAAATGCATGAAGTTGTAATGAAGCACTGACCCTGCAACTTCCTTCGCTTTGTCAGACACTTCCACAGATCTCAAAGTTTCATATTAAGTAATTATTTTAATTATCTTCTAGTGCAGTTAAGAAAAAAAAAACCAACACGCACCAAAAACCACGAATCAACCAGAACTTTTAATACCTTCTTCCTCAAAGCACAAGCTGGTGCAAATGATTTTAAAGCTCGTTACATTTAGTCCCTATGAAAGAGACACTTTCTTTTGGAAGAGTGATAAGCAATCTTACAAAGGAATACGGTAAGTTTGTCTTTTTCCCGTATATCCCACCAAGAATGAGCAAAAAGCAAAGATTTTGCCCTGTTCAGTTGTTCACTTTTGATTATTTAACTTTCTGTTAGGCAGCTACTCTGCCTATAATCTTTAAGTCCACAACCTTGCAAACTTCTATCTATACAAAGAACCCAAACTTGCAGGCTGACCTAAAAATGGCATAGTTTGTTACCCCAACAAGCAAGTCCACGTACAGGATGAGCACGTTTACTGTAACAGTTACCATACAGCCATCTCCTAATTACGTCAATGAAGAAACAAAATAAAAGAGCAACGTTCACATAACATTAAGAAGCAAACTAGATGCAAGAAGAGCATGGTTGGGGTAGCTTCCAGACAGAATAAGCTGCAGCTTACCTTTACTCATTAAGGCAAGCAGGCTTAAGAGTTTTCTCTAAAGCAATTGAGAAATGCTGGCACGAAAGGTAGCAGCTAGTAAAAGGCTTATAAGAGCTTGCTTTAAAGGCTTCCCCAGATTTTAACCTGCACCACAGCTCCTGCAGACACTCTACGAAGCCCAGCCAGCCCTCAGAAAACCTGCAGCACCCGCAC